TTACATGTAGGCAAAAGTTCGAGGTCTTCAAGAGGGCCTAGGAAAACTAGGTAGATTGAGAAGCACTGACACAGTCAACTACAAAGCAATACATAATGAATACTATAAAGTAGTGTGACTGGTACCCCTGTTCCTGACAGCTGGTAATGTGGTTAACATAACTAATGCCATTTTATGATAGCCTGTGGGTGGCAAACTTATCTGTAGTCATTACCTGAATATGATGCAATATGCACAAATAGGAGGAATACAAGTGCACTATGAATGCTACACTCTTCCTGAACTACTCAACAGAAGTCAGCAAAAAGGAAGTGTATCAAACAAGAGAACATTCCTATATTTTGTGATGACATTCTTAACATGCTGAATGCTTGTGATCTTTTGCTTAGCCCAAGCCATACTAACAAAAGGATTTTCCTCCTTTCCAGTTTTGTTGTAAATATTTCAATATGAAGAACTGATCAATACTGAAAATGTTGGACTTGTTTTCTTGTAGGATAACTCTGAAGTTAGATATGGCAGCACCATTTGGGTGTTTATTAATCCAGAAAGTTCTTTCCTCTCTATGTTACCTGCTACTTTTTCCTTTTTATTTTAATTTGAAATGCACTGCATGTACTGCAACACTTATTACACATGAAAACCAGAAGAATGAGTGGAAATAAATGTCTTGAATTTCAGTATAGTTGCTACTTAACTTCATTATTTATTTAAATTAGTATGATTAGGACTGTGGCTACTTTGTCAACACAAATTAATTACTTGTGTGCAATAACAGACACGTATCAAATGCCAGCTCTTCATCTGGTCTCAGCAGAGGTAAGCATCTCTTTATTACTCACTCTCTAAGCTGGAACAAATTGCAAAGCCTTTCCTGGTACTTCTACTACAAGAGATGCAGAGCCAAGCAGAAGCAGATGTTCAACTTGGATCATAACACTTTATTCTGTAATTTCACAGAGAAGTTTTAAGAAAGTTCCCTTTCACCACTACCCCTCCAAAACTATAGTTAGTAAAGAAACATTTCAGAAACAAACCAACCATAACTCATAACTCCATTCAAAACTCAGAAAAGATAAAGCGTGTTTCCTCTAAAAAGCTGTGTGAAAATCATTTGGAGACAGACTAAGAGTTCTGCAGGTGCAGATATACCCTGCATTAACAGACTGAGGTTGGAAAGCACCCTGTGCACATCCGAGAGTGCTGTGGTTCTTGAAGACTCAAGCTGAAACAACCTCTGAGATTGGCATACTTCACACGTAATAGAAATATTAAGTTCATTTCTCTGCTATGCCTGTCTTGCAGATTCTTCTATTTTCATTCATAGATATTATCCAGGTTTGGCTTTTCCTGGGGTTATCCAGTATCCCATCTTTCCTATCCTCACCATTGCTGAGATCTAATGGTAGGTAAATTAAGGGAACGTCTGAAATATTAGAGAAGCTTCCCTGAACTATCATCATTCTGTCACTCCAAGCTGCCAATTCAGATGACAAAATGTAGTTCCGCATTAAGCCACAAGGCACAGTACTGAGTTTGAGGTATTCCTGGACCCTTCTTCCCCCTCCCACACTGGAGCCAAGTTGTTGGTGGAAAGACTGGCAGAACAGGAATTAGGGAGCTGCTAGACTTCTGGGTAATGAGATCCTTTGATTTCCAAAGAAATTGAAACTCAGCTTGCTTCAAGGCAAAAACTCACCCCTGTATAAAGATCCTAGAACATGCCATTCCTAGAAAAAACTGTTGGGAGTCTTGCAACCCCCTGAAAGACCCCAGTACTAGCCAGACAAGAAAGAGGACACTTCTCAGGCTCAGGCTGAGAAACTGATCTGAAATAAAACCCTGAAGTTTGACAGGATGAATGTGCCAGTCAGAGGTGTGAGAACAAAACTGAGGGTCTAAAAACAGAAATGCTTTTTCTTTTGGGCAACGGAAATGGTTGCCCAAGCCAGTAAAGGGAGCATGCTTTTCTTCCCACACAAACTTATAGCAATGCTGTAGGAATGCTTTCCTACCAGGAAAGAATTATAATTGAACCCTGTGTTCATAGTGGAAGAGCTCTGTTCTCAGGAGGTCACTAAAACATACAGACACCCTTATCATGAACAAGTTGCATATTAATGACCAAACTCAAGGAATTCCCTTACATTTAGATTAGATATATGGAAAAAGTTCTTTACTGTAAGGGTGGTGAGGCACTGGAACAGGTTGCCCAAAGAAGTGGTGAATGCTCCATCCCTGGCAGTGTTCAAGGTCAGGTTGGACAGGGCCTTGGGTGACATGGTTTAGCATGAGGCATCCTTGCCTATGGCAGGGGATTGGAACTGTATGATTTTAAGGTCCTTTCCAACCCAAACCATTCTATGATTCTATAATTCAAAAGAGAGAATGAAGCTTCTTAGAAAGAATGTGCAGCCAAGTGGAAGGTTAAAATGGTCCATAAAACCAGATAAAAACGTCATGTGAAAATCCAATCTGTCTTTACTTCATGAAGAAAATTCACTCCATTCTGGCCTCAGAACCCATGACAGGGGGTGGGTGTATAAAATATGCTACAGGCAATACTGATGATTGGCTTCAGCAGTGTCAACAGCGAACTAAATAGGATCTTGCCAAAATGCAACAGGGCACTGGTGACCAGTAAACAGAAGCAGATAAAGGGTTCCTTTTCTCTTCCCTCCCCTCCCCTATTCTAAATATAAAAAAAAGGAAGATAAGAAATCCATCTCCCAGATGATGAAAAGCAGCAGTGCAAATGTGACTAGCTCCTGACATCTTCACATCACTCTCCAAACACTGCAAACATTTCCTATCCCTTCTTCAAAATGGGTTTACATCTCAGTTCTAGTGTCAGGCCATCCTTCTGTGCAGAAACCATGTTAGGACTTTTGCTGTTAAGAACATGTCCACGGCTTCTAATGAAACTGGAATGTCCTTGTGCAGAGCTTTGACCGTACGAAAATAACTCCTGTGTTGCAAGTCCCCAGATTACTCATGTCTCTGCATTCATGGGCTTGATAAAGCAAAAGGGATCTGGAAAACCCTGTCATAAGCTGGAACATTGTGAATTAAAGGGATGAAAAAGATGATTCAAAATGGAAAATAATTTTTTATTGCCTGTATGGATGAGTTTGAATTTTGAATGAAGAAAGTCTTCAAAAGATGTAATTGTGAGGCCTTCTCCATCCTTTATTTGAAGCGGAATTCCACCTGTGCAGTACAGCCAGAACTCAGCTGGTTGTTCCAGACCAGCAAGCACAACGGAAGCACCACAGGCCAAGCTATGGCCTGGGTAGTTCTTTTGTCTGCTGAACTTCTTTATTGTGACAGAGGCCATAGGTGGACCTGGAGACATCAGCCTAATGATATTCATATCCTCACTTGCATATTCAGTGCCTCCAGCCTCCTCTGAGGCCAGACAGAATCAGCACTGGGATGGAGACTAAAGAATCAGGTAAGGCTATCACCTGAACTTGGGAAAACCTGCTATGTTAGATATTTACCTTTGGGTAGATGGAGAAAGTTAGACCAGTACTAACTGGTCACAACGATGGTGGCCCAGAAGATCCCAAACCCTCCCAGCAATATGGAAGCTGAGCAGCATGATTCACACAGGTATCATCTCTGCATTTGACTCGTCCTTACCTAGGAACACACAGGGGAAAAGCACCTACTAACAAAATACACAGTGCCCTGTGTGCTTTGCATCATAGAATGATTAGGATTGGGAAAAAACTTAAGATCAACTAGTTCCAACTCCCCTGCCATGGGCAGGCACGCCTTGCACTAGACCTTGCTGCCGAAAGCTCTTTCCAACCTGGCCTTGAACACTGCCAGGAATGGAGCATTCATCATTTCTTCAAGCAACCTGTTCTGGTGCCTCACCACCCTCACAGTAAAGAACTTCTTCCTTGTATCTAACCTGAACTTCCCTGTTTAAGTTTGAACCTATTACCCCTTGTCCTATTGCTACAGTCCCTCATGAAGAGTCCCTCCCCAGCATCCTTACAGGCCCCCTTCAGATACTGGAAGGCTGCTATGAGGTCTCCACACAGCCTTCTCTTTTCTAGGCTGAAGAGCCCCAACTTTCTCAGCCTGTCTTCATACGAGAGGTGCTCCAGTCCCCTGATCATCCTCGTGGCTCTCCCCCGGACTTGCTCCAACAGTTCGATGTCCTTTTTATTTTGAAGACACCAGACCTGCATACAGGACTGCAAGTGGGCTCTCACAAGAGCAGAGTAAAGGAGCAGGGGTCATCTCCTCCAACCTAGGAAAACTGGGGCTTGGTGCCCTTTCGTAGGGGCCATCTGAGCCCAGGCTAAAGACAGCCCCCCGCCTCCCCCCCCCACTGATGGGAAAGGGGACACAGCCGTAGCTGTACTAGAAAAGCCGAAGCCCGACCTGGGTAGGCAGTGCCTGACCCCACATCGTCCTGGCTGCACCGTACCGCGCCTCCGGACAGCCGGCTGGAGGAGAAACAGAGGCTTCTGGAGCTGAAGCCAGCCGAGAAAGAAAAGAAACCCTGGCCTGCGGTCTCCTGACGGCGGCAGTAGCTCCCTTGCCCTTCACGGGGCAGGTCCCACTCGCTGCTGCCGCGGCCGGCGTACCCGCCGCCGCGTCCCTTCTGGCACGGAGCGCGGGCACAAGCCGTACCGACACTCGCGCCCCGGACACGAGCGTTGCTGCTGCTGCAGGTCCGGTCCCTCCCAGCGCTTACAAAAGGAGACAGCAATCCTGCACAGACTCCCGTCTCCGTTCCCGTTCGTTTCCCTTTCCCTTCCCCTTCCTGTTCCCGGCCCGCCCCGCAGCCATCCGGCCCGGCTCCGGCTGTGGGCGGGCCGAGGCCTGCCTGCAGCTGCGGGGCCCGCCTCCCCGGTGCGTGCTGAGCTCAGGCCGGGCCGCTTGGCGCTGTGAGGGAATCGGGTTGTGCTCGCGAGAGCCGTGAGGGAGCGCAGGGCCTGGGGCGGGCCGGATTCCGACGCGCTGGGAAGACGGGGGTGGGGGCCTAAGCGGGGCGGGGGAGTGGCGTGTGTGCAGAGCGGGGCGTTCGGGGGGCGCCGCTGCCTTGCTTCTCCATGCGGGCGCCAGCGCTGAGTTGGGCTGGCGCGCCGGGCGCCGGAGGCAGCGCACGGTGCTGAGGGGCCGCGGCCCGGGGAGACGATGGCAAAATGGCTGAATAAGTACTTCAGCCTGAGCAATAACAAAACCAAGAGTCCCCCTCAGCCTCCGCGGCCCGACTACCGAGAGAAGAGGAACGGTGCCGGCAGCGTGCCCCGCCCCGACGGGCCGCCGCACCTCCACCTTCACCACCACACGTCGCCCGGTTTCCCGCGCCGCCGCCTGCGCGACGACACCAGCGACCTTCTCCGCGCCTACCGAGCACAGAAAGACCGCGACTTCGAGGACCCCTACAGCGGACCCGGCTCCTCGCTTCTGAAGCTGCGTGCCATGTGCCGCCCGGATTACTCGGTGCCGGAGGATCTGGGCGAGGCGGCCCCCAGGGCTTTCTCCTCCTCGTCATGCTGTGCCGCGCCCCCCACCGCCGGGGCAGCCGGCTCCCCTCAGCTCTTCCGCAGCCACAGCGAGCGCCGCCCGGCCACGCCACCCGACGTGAAGTATATCTCCCCGAAGCATCGGCTTATCAAGATCGAGGGTGGCGGTGGCCGCGATGTAACAGGCAAGAAGCTCAACAAGGGCTCCAAGCAGCTGGCGACCTCTGTCCCCTCTGCCACGAAAGACAAAGTAAGTGCGTGGTCCTGTTCCTGCACCCTTAGATTTGGCAGTAGGGTTGGGGCTGTGTCAGCCCCTGGGAGGGTTTTTGGTGACGGGACTTGTTCCTGTCTGAATTCATCTAAAGCTGCCGCTGCTCTCCACCGTGCTGCAATGGTTGGCCTGGCTTTTTTCAGTATCTCGGGGCAGGCAGGATATGTGTAAGGTTGGCACATGAAGTGGTAGTGCCTAGTCCTTTCAAACTCACCTCCCTTCTGATGGGGCAGGTGTGCCCAGCTCTGCTCTGGGCAAAGGGCAGTGCCAACTTCAGGAGTGATAGCAAGGCTCTGAGGTTGGCATGCTCCTGCAGAACCGGATGTGAGTCTTTGAGAGAGTGCTTGGGGAGCCCTGAAGTCACTTGAGAAGTCTTGTGCTTGTGACCCAAAGTTGTGGCCTCAGACCCATTGCATGCGGTATGGAATGGTCATATGTATATATATGACCACATACCACATGCAAATATATGTATTAATCTTTATATATAAAAATAATAATCTGATGCCATCTTGAGTCAGACTGCCTGTCTTAAAAGAGACAACTTGTCATGTGTCCAGTATAGCTTCTTTGACTCCTTCGGTGTCGAAGGTGAAGTAGTTCGAAGTCCTGTGTAACAGCATCACAACTTCCATGATAACTATGTTTCCAACTGGCACGTACCTTAAGCAAACATAGCTACAGGCTCAGTTGCAAATGTTCTATCTTTTAATCTTTGTTTCCTGCAAATACTAGCAGAATACTATAGACACAGCACTGGAAAGTGCTGAGCTCAGGAGCTTGGTTTACAACTGGGAAGCTTTGCAGAGGGAATCAGTGTTAATTATTTTGTAAGCACAGCACATATTCCCCCAGCCTTGTTAGTTCTGGTAGCTTAGCTCTAGTTTTTCCATATATTGGAAATTGATATTTCTTCATTTTTTGAATTGTCATTTACAACTTCAGTGTAATAGTCACATCACAGGAATTCCAAGAACGTGCTCAATGTTACCAGTTTAAGTGATCTGTACATACAGGTTTGAATATGTGATATGATTGCATTGACTAGTGACACATTTCCCTGAAAACTTGATAAATTACATCCTGTCCAGGTGAAATTCTAAATAAATCAGCTTGTGATGGTGATGATACGAGATCTAAAGTCTTTTATTTTATAAATTTTATTACATAGCATGTCATTTTAGGTGTACTTCGTTTCCTGACAACAGTTGCAAAAGTAGCAACTTCTTTTGCTGAAGTAATAGATTAGAGTCTTACTGTGTTACAGCATATTCAGTCTTCTTTCAATCGCCTGTGTTGATACCATGTATCTGCTTTTGGCAAATGCTTTCAGCAACTTCAGAGAAAATAACTCCTTGGGGCAAAATGCTTCCAAGTGCAACTGCTAGTCTGTTTTGTTTTTTTTTTTTTCTAATTTATTATCTTTCCATTTTAGACACTACTTGTCCTTTTTTGACTGGGATAGAGTTATTTTTTTTCTTAGTAGCTGTTGCAGTGCTGTGGTTTGGTTTTAGTCTGAGAACAGTAGTGATAACACGCCGATGGTTTAGTTGCTGTTCAGTATCATTTAGCCTGGTCGAAGGCTGTTCAGTCTCTCATGCTCTGCCAGTGAGGAGGGACCCAAGAAGCCAGGAGGGAGCAGAGTCAGGACACCTGACCCAAACTAGCCAAAGGGGTATTCCATACCACAGCACGTCATGCCCAGCATAGAAACTGAGGGGGCTACCCGGAAGGGGAGATCGCTGCTTGGGTCAGGCTGGGTATTGGTCAGTGAGTGGTGAGGAATAGTATTGTGTGTCACTTGGGTTTTATGTGCTTTTATTTATTCTCTTGTTGTTTCCTACTATTACCATTATCATTATTGTTGGTATTCTTTCTATTATCACTATATTTTACTTAATTTTAGTTATTAAACTGTTCTCCTCTCGACCTGGGTGTTTATACTCTTCTGATTCTCCTGCCCATCTTACCTGGGGAAGGAGGAGTGAGCAAGTGGTGATTAGTTGCTGGCTGGGCTTAAACTGTGATGCTACTGAAGCAATTTTTGAAGCAGGAACTACATCTGTTGCTAGGTAACCTTCTACCTACTGTGTGGTCATAAATGTGTGTGCTGGCCCCAGGCCCTTGTTGTGGATTCTAAAATTTTTTTTGAACAAGCAGCCTACATTTTCCTACAAGAAGAAATGGAACACTCATTTCACAGCCACATTCTTTCTGTCTTTGGGAGAAAGAACTATATGTGAACTACATGAACTAAAAGCAAAATGTGCCTGCTGCCACCCACAGCAGAATTTGGTTGTGATGCGCTATATAGCTTGCTTTTCTTTTCAGTTGTGTTTTTTCCTCCCAGTAATGGAAATATAAATGGAATTATATTTCACAGCCCTGGAATGTAAAGCCTGACAGGTGAACCTAGTAAGCTATGGTCATAGTGGGCAGTTAGAGAACTGTTTCTCTCCTACACCTGTCATTCAATGAGGAAAAAATGGAGGACATTAGTTAACAGAATAAGTTTAGTTCAGTGGCAAAGCAAGTGGAAATAAACTTCTGTAAGAAGGTGATAGTAGAGGGGACAGTAAACATGTTATCAAAAAAGCTAGAGGTTTAACATTCAGAAGAGTTAAAAAATGTTAAAAAACTTCGGGGGGGGGGAGGGGGGGATCTGTGAGTAGCATAGCTTAAGCTATGTACTTTAGGAATGGAAAAGGATCTACTTGCCATAAAGGCGTGTCATCGTAGAAGCATGTGTTTAATGATCCGCTAATGTTTGTTAAATGTGTCCATTTAGCACCTCTGTTTTTTTCGTCTTTGCATACAATGATAAAGTGCTGTTTTCGAATGTTCACTAGGTGAGAAGTATGGTTTTCAACAAATTCAGTGAGCAACTTCATAATTTTTGTGACTGGTTGTCAGTAAAGAGCTGTCTGCAGAGCTCAGTTGTGTGTTAAACTGGAAAGAGTTACTAGAATGGGAAAGAGATTTAGGAAAGTGCTTGGGTTTTTTTGTGGTTACTTCTAAAAGACAAATGACAAAGTATGAATAATGGCAGACAGGTTAGTCAAAGTTCCCAAGAAAAAAAGTGATAGACTAGCTGATTCAGGGAGCAAAGGAGATGGACATTAAAAGCAATGGCAGGCACGATTGTGTTTTGCAAGATTCCAAGTACAGCTTGTAAAAGTAACCACAGACATGTAATGTATCTGGGCTTCTGGGCTTCAGGAAGGTTTGATGTATAGAGGTAGAAGTACTGACTAAAGTTCAAGCAGACAAATCCAAACCACCATACATCTTTAAGTGAGGTGACTAACCTGTACAACAGATGTCCAAGGGAGAATCACCATCACCAGGTGTCTTTGAACTCAGATTAGTGGGTGGATTTTTTTATTTAGGTAGTATTGTCAGGCAGGCTTTAGGGTTTTGACAGTGATGCTTATCTTCAAACAAGGGAGAGCAGGCTGTGTTAGAATTCGTGGCAGAAGCTGCTCAGTTTCTCCAGTATGGGGGATAAGAAGCTACTGATGTCTGCCTTTAGTGCTGGCTTGGGAGATGTTAACTGCTTAGCTCTCCTATGACGAATGAGTGTAGGCAAGGTGGAACAATTTAGGAAATTACTGGCTTCCATCTATAGTGCTGGCCTGGGAGATGCTAACTTCCTAGCTCTCCTGTGGCCAGCAAATGAGTGTAGGCAAGCCAGAACAATATGTGGCTATGTGCTGGAACAACCTAGGGGCTACTGTGTTTGTGTAAGAATAAATTCAAGACTTGGCTTAACATCAGCTCAATAGACAAAACACTTTTATTGAACTGGGGATCTGAAAGAATGGCTGAAAGTCTTCCTCAGCAGCTCTCCTTTATCTGGTGGTGTACGGTGTGTGTAAATCCAGGATAGTAGTAATAGCTGAATGGAAAGTGTCCCTGTGAAAGGATACTTTGTGTATTTTGTCATCTGTTTTACTTTTTTGAACCTAAACATTTCTCTGCCTGCATTTACTGCTGAAGAACCTGGAACACTATTCAAAGGGCAGAGATAATTGTTTCATAATGAGGAGCATTTTGCATTCCTGCTGTGTAGTGGAGGCAGATCTGTGCAGCAGTTCTGCATACGGAATGCAGAAGACACTCTTGCAGCACCGATTTACACAGGACATGTCTAATGCTGTAGAGAATAGCTCAGTTCTTCACAGGCAGAATTGATGCAGTGCAAAAGCATGTCTGGAATGAGTGGCAGCAGCAATCAGGGCAGCACAGTTGTTGACTTGGTTTACAAAGGTCTAGAAACGAAGTCTGTGTGAATTCTATACTTGTATAAGAAAAAAAAAGCCACCGCCCAACCCTTTATTTTCATGGGATCCACCATGGAAGTGTGTGGTGCAGAAATCTGGCTAAGCGTGAGGGCTAAAGCTGTTTGCCTGAAAAACTTTCCCCCCGTTATGTAAGAAACGAGCACCTTTCTGACATTGCAATGGCCTATGGAAATGCTGTTTGCACTTTTAAGGTTTTCCATAAAAATACTTAGGCTCCATGGAACATTATTTGTATCTATATATAATTAAAACATTTTAGTAAAAATTGAAAAGGTGTTTGTCTTATTTCTGTACACAGAAGGTCTAAGTTTCATTTGATCTTGCAAGTGAGAACAGTCAGGTGTATTTAACAGAATCTAGCAGCTGGTATTTTGAGGTGCACTGAGAAAACACCTAAAAGATACCTAAGCAGTGTTGGGGTTATTTTTAAAAGTATATAATTTCTAGAGATCCTAAACTACAAATGTATCTCTGTGTCTCTTTCCCATGTTTAATCCTTTACAACAGGGTGTAAATCTGCCACTCATTACAATTGGTTCTACTCTGAAGCACACTTCCCCACTGCATGTGGCTCCCATTGGTAGATGGCTGTGCTTTGAGTCAAAGGTTTCCGGAAAAGGTGCCAGTGGTCTTGTGAGCCTCCATAAATGGCTTGGACAAGGCCACGCATAAAGA